CCCTCTAACAGAAAATCTTAGATTGCCGAGAATCAACCGAGTTCATCGGGGTTAATGTTTACACAGTCCCGAACGTCGCACACTCAATTTAAAAAAAAAAAAAAAACATTTATGTTAAAACTTGTTATATATAGTCTCTAACACGATAACGGAAACGATGGTCGCAGGACATTGAGCATCGATAGGGTTCATATTTTCATGAACCCAGCTCTTCAAACAATTTTTTTTTTAAAAAAAAGAAGTCACTATTAATACTTCACACAAAAATATTTAACCAAAGTCTTTAAAACTGTCGGAGAACAGCAGGGGAGGGGGGGGGGGTACAAAAGGTAGCAGGACGCTGAATATCGATCGTTTTATTTCTATTTTATAAATAGCGTGATGTGTTCTAAAATGTATCATTAATTCATTGCGTCTACCAGTTAACTGGTAGATATGACGTCATAATTGCCAGTTTCATTAATTTTAAAATCAGATAACTGGCAGATATGACGTCATGGCTGTCAAACTCCGCATACTAGTAAGATTGAAATTAGGCTTGCCTTCAAAAGATTGTTCAAAGCGATTTGGTATTTCTGAAACTTCATTTTCATCCACATCAATAGAACTTACAAATTTATGTGAAATACCTTCAATTGCACACTGTATGCCGTATGCCCGTCTTCATTAGCCCAGTTCGGAGCAAAACAGTAGGACGTTAAACCCCATTTCATTTCATTTCATTTTGAAATACCTTCAATTGAATCTGTTGTGCAAACTAAAGCTTCCTGTTTTAAAGATTTTAATAATATTGAAATTATTATAGATTGTACAGAGTTGTTTAGTGAGACTCATTCATTAACCGCTCATAAGTAATATCATTCTAATTATAAGCATCACAGTACAATGAAATTTATGTTTGGTATCAGTCCAGCAGGAGCGGTAACATATGTGTCTCAAATGTATGGTGGTAGAGCTTCCGACAAATTTATTACTAATGATTCTGAAAGTTTATTATCTTATCTCGATCCAGGGACGTGCATTATGGCAGACCGAGGTCTTACGATCTGCGATGATTTACCTGCTGGTGTTCAGTTAATTATTCCCCCTTTTAAACCCAAAGACAAGGCCCAATTTTCTAAAGATGAAGTACTAAGAAGTAAAAAAATATCAGAGGCCCATGTTCATATAGAAAGGGCAATAAGGCGTATTAAACAGTTTCTCTTGCTAGAGAATGGGGTCAAGTTGGCCATGATAGAAAATTACGAAAAATCGTACCTGTGCTTATCTTGTAAATTTTCAAGATCCTTTTCTCAAAGTATAGGCTTTTAAAATTAAAACAAACTGAAGACATTTTTGAAGTTGTGAAGAAATAAATTTCTCTTGATAACAGTAATAACACTTATAATATTAAAAATATAACATAATATTGTCAACAAACATGTATAAATTAAGTAACTATGAAAACCTTCGGTCATTACAATGTTTTTATATATTTTATCAACAAACATGTATAAATTCACTATTTACAATTTAAGAGGAAACCTTTCGGTCATTACAGTTTTCTTTTATATATTTTGTCAACACACATGTATAAATTCAGTAATTAAGCCACTATTTACAATTAAAGAGGAAACCTTCGGCCATTACAGTTTTTTCGTATATTTTATTGACTATTAATTTCATTTAAGTAAAAATCAAAACTATTAAACGATTTGTTTATTGAAATAGAATATGATATAAAAACCACTGCAGTGGCTGGAGTTCTGAAGAATGTCTAAATTGCATTTCATAAGACATTAATTTTCTTACAATTGTATTTGTATAAAATAATTTAGCCTTATCATACACATCATTGCATTTCATTAGAATTAGACATTAATTTTGGTACAATTATATTTGTGTAAAATAATTTAGCCTTACCATGCACGTCATTCCAAATATCTAAATCAAATGACATTGTACTACATGTACTTATAATTCCTTTACTGGACTATACAACAAAGTCAGCTTTATGTATTTTAGTTATAGCCATTTGACTTTGTATTTGTGTATAATATGTATGTGAAGGAATTAGATGAGTTTGTCCATTCTCATCAGGTTTTAAGTAATTAATAGAATTTATAAAATCTGTAGTTGGTTTGTTTTCAATGGTTTTTGGACATTTAATTTCAACTACTATTTTATCCTCGCAACAAGAACATGAAAAAATTATATCAATACTGGTTACAAACCAACCCTTATTTGAAAAAATTAACCCTTTCTCCATTAGATTACAGCATATATGTGTTTTCTGCTTTTCTTTTAGATAATCAGAAGCTGCATCTTTTTCATGTATAAGAACATAATGCAGTATTTATATTTCCCTTAAATTTACTATTGCCCATTGTATCTTCTATAAGCCAGTCATTGCTCCCATGATCAAGTAATGTTTTGCCTGATTTTACCAGTGTGTAAGTATTATGTATTTTGCTGGATGTTATGACACATTTTCGATAATGAAACCAGTTTTTATTTTCACTTTGTTTTCTTGTCAATTGCACTTATCCCAGAATCAGTATAGCAAAGTATAGTCATAAAGTCATGAATATTTGCATTTTGTCTATTGCTAACAAGATATTTGATTTTTCTAATATCGATTTTGGGGGTAATAATTGTATGTATATATCGATAATAAAAGATGGTACTAATTCAACTGCATCCAAGTTATATATATCCTTAAGATCTGAGGGTCCAAATGTTTGCAAGGGTTTGTTATTTACGGGTCTCCACTTATTGAGATCTACCGATTTCAACCATGGTAAATTTGGACGACATGAATTAAGTTCATGAAAAAGCTGTTGTGCCTTTTCAAATTTTACCCCAGCCTTAGAGAATTAACTGGATTAAAGATGATACTCTTCAAATTAGAGGTCCTATTTATACAATAGGAACGTCTTTAAGGGGTTTCACTTGAATATTTTTGGATTTTGGTGCAGACCATGAACATAAAATAGATGTGCACGAAGTGTCAGGCAATTCTATTAAACCTTTACTAACAATATCTTCTAGGCCAAATAGTAAGCCAGCAACATGAGAGCATGCCTCGATCAATCCTGCTACGCATGAACAATGACCACAAAGTGGTTTACCACTAGATCTATCTAAAACAATGCATGTGTCATATACAGTTCCAGATGTATCCCAAGATGGGTTACTTTTGCAGCGTAAAGCAAAGTATGAATAATTATCTGCAAGATTGTTAAACCGAACAGAATGTGTATGCGCTGAAGCCCAAAGATCGTAACTGTGTAAAGCTTTATATCGCTTAATTGTTTCTGATGTGAATTCTTCAAAGTTTGAAGAACATGTTTTAATATCATGAGCATTAATCAAATTTTCTTCAATCTGTGAAAGTGTTGTAGATGGCAAATAATTAAGATTTTGGGTCCAGCCCTTAACTGAATTTTAATGTCACAAATATTTTGATGAAGCACACTAGTAGATTGATTAAATTTATAAATTGAAGACAGCTGTGCCAAATGATGGGTCCTTTTGCCAATAATTACTAAATGATATCTCCTGAGTAAGTCTTTCAATTCCAAATCATTAAGTTTACACAAATCTTCATATTTAATTATTTCATGTTGTTTTAGATGTAAGACTGAAGATAGCTGGTCAATTTACTCTAAATGTTTATTCTTGGGAACCAATGAATGTGATCTAATAATCTTATCAAGTTGCTGATTAGTTATAAGTCTGTGAAGTAAAAAAAAGAGAAATGAATTGTTTATTTTGTGGTGTCTGTTCAGAAAGAGGGGGGGGGGTATATATATTTTTTTTTTTTTTTTAAATCTTAATTAGATTTAAAAACTTACAGCCAAAGCAATTTTTAAAAAGTGTATCAGAAGAGAAATGAATAGAAACATAATTAAATACTATAAAATATGTTCAGGTCTACGTCTAGGCCTATTAGTATTTATTTCCAAAATTTTGCTTGGTTTTTTTTTTTGGGGGGGGGGGGGGAGGGTAAACTTTTTGCTTTGGTTTTTTTAAACATAGCACTCCAAATATCCCCAACATTCATTTACGGAGGGGCGAATATATATTTAAGGTTTTTTGTTACAAGAGCTTAATTATAAATATTAGATCTACGAGTACGAAGGGAAATTTTGGTACACCAATGGCAATAAGCTACGGTACATGCATCGCATCCAATAGGCCTAGGCCTATTTTTGAGCGGCGAATCCCGAACATACGACGGCTGATAAGGACATACAAAACACCAATTTCATATTTCGAATTTTCACACAGCTCATTTTTATTTTTCACCCGAAGAATGTAGGCTGTTTAGGGGGACCATAATACTAGCCGAATCGAATCAAGGCTATTTAGACGGATCATAATACTTGGGCGCGTGTAACTAAATCGAGTGACAGTGTAACTAAAAATAGCCTAATTGATTTTGTCAACCTACCGATCGTAGCTTTTTGTGATGATCTGTTTTCACATGAGAAAATTAGATATAATTATGTTAAAAATGTGGAAAAGTATATTATTTAAAGTCGCATCATCAATTGATAATAAATAATTTGAACAGTGGAAGTTCAGTTTGTTTGTTTTGACTTTTTATCGCAGACGTCAAGTTGTCAAGCGAAGCCATTAATTGTAAACAACGTAAATCCCCCTCAACTAGCGCCACCAGCGACGGAGTTACCTCCCTTCAACAATGACGAATAGGTGAACTGCATTGTTACTAGGGCTGTCCGTTGCACCGACTGCACGAGAACGTGCCATAACAATTTGCTGATGAGTGGTATAGATGTGTCTTCTAGCGTTATATTTAGTCAATGTGTTGATAAATGTCTGCCTAAACTCGTTTTGTTACCACAATATATAATTAATTAACATCAATTGTTGCCGTTGATTGCCAGCTACAAATTGATCTGCCTATCACAATAACTGTATTGAGTTTTGACTACCAACTGTTGCTTAGTTATTTTTATTTTAATTTTAACATTAAATAATATCGTTACTTTCCAGCTACTAATTATCAATCAACTGTTGCTTAGCTACTTTGTATTTTAACATAAAATAATATCGTTTCTTTCCAGTTGCAAATCTATTTGCATATCACAATATCTATATTGATCTATTAATTAATCTCAACTCGGAAACTACAATTGAAGATCACCACAAACGAAACGAGATGCAGTAGAACAGATGAGTGGGTCAATATACCAACCCCGACACTGGCAGTAGCTGAAAAATACGAAAATACAAAATACAGGTTCAAATACGAAGGGTCTTCAGTAAGCTATAAGTGTGCTCATTGTCTCTAGAACAAGGAGTTCACAATCAAATTCTAAAGGTCCAGCTTCAGTGAGCTACCAGTATGCTCGCTGCCCCTAGAACGTGGGTTTTACAATAAAAGGGAACTTCTGTGAGCTATCAGTATATTCACTATTTCTTGGAAAGGAGTTCACAATATAAATGAGCTTCAGTCAGCTATTAGTCTGCTCACTGGTTCTAGAATAAGAAGGAGCTTCGGTGAGGTATCAGTATGCTCACTGTTTCTAGAACTAGGAGTTGTTATAATATTGGTTCTTCGTCGTTCTTGATGACACTGGTTTAACTTCATATAATACTTTTATTATTCATCCAAACATATAATGTATTGTGTGAAGTACGGTCCTCCTGCGCACTTACTATTAGTTAGCTTGTCTTGAATGAGTCCTAGCGCTAACTTAGGCGCTCTGGTCTGGACTCAAAACCTATTCCCAACTTAACTTTCTAAGTAACTTCCTCATCCCTTCTTTATACCCTTGACCCGTGTCAGGTGTTAAGATGGTTACACAGCTGATTATTAGCTTACTGTACAAATTTTTCTACAAGACAACAGACATTACATGACTCAAATATCTGTCATAAGTGACAGCTGACATGATAAGGGTATTTAATTAAAGGTGGAAAATGATGAACATTCCCCATATTCCCTATTTTGTAACAGAGTTCGCAAGCTCACATTGATTGGCTACTCACTCGGCTACGAAATATTTTGGATCAGAATTTGGTTCCCTAGGTGTGATGACGTTACCCTCGGTAATACCGTACTTGCTGTAAATGGTTACACCTTTGGATTTCCGACGCACATATTATTACGTATCGATATATACACATCAACGATTGTAACTATACACCTGCATTCATAACAATATACACCGTGAACATAGTTTAAAATGTCCACATTCCATGTTTCCCATACGGCGAAATAATCGCTTGGAACTCTTGCATTCCTTACTTGACGATTGAGTTTACACTGTGCGAAATCGAAATAAGGGTATCATCATTTTAGACGATCCCCTGTTAGCCATGACATGCTTGTCAAACCGTTAGGGTGGCGTGGTCAATTGTAGAGTATACACCATAATAATATATTACGGCGTATCACAAAAAGGGACAATATTCCCCTCCCCATCATCGAATTGGGGTGACAACTTACCAAGGCAACCTAACGTATTTATGTCTTCTATTGATAAACAATCTTTATAAAGCCTCAACAAGTCCCTGAAACAATCATTTTAATAAATGTTTAATGTTTAATAAATGCCTGAAGAGCCGCTATCGCCGTGAATAAGTTAGCATAATGTAGTTTTATTTTGCCATCTTTAATTTCAATTATATATTACCAAAGAGCAGCTTCAATATCCTATTATATATACTGAGCGCCATGGAAAACGCATCACTTAGTTTTTCGTATAACAAAATGATCCTGTAAACATATCTTATTTATTTTGCTTCTTATTGTGAACAATATTGAAATGGGAACACATCAATAACAACACATTTGTACACTTATGGATGTTTAATCTGTAATCAAGGGTACAAAGTCCGAGGGGTCAAAACCAAAAGTAAGACACAGATGTCAGTAGCGCGTGTGTCCTCCACGGGCCATCATCACGGTAGGCTACAGCATTAACGCGACCCCTGCAAATGTGTAGGGCGGTCGGGTGATGAAATGTGAAGCCTCCCCACACCATTACACTTTCCCCACCCCATCGATTCGTTTCGAAGACGCAGCAGTCTGCAAGACGTTCCCCAAGACGTCTCCACACACGTTGACGGCCATCAGCGGGATAAAGATGAAAGCCACTCTCATCACTGAAGAGCACACTTTGCCAGTCTACTCTTCTCCATGTCTGGTGTCCTTGAGCCCATATCAAACGCCGCTGACGGTGATGATCCCTGAGGATAGCTCCAACATAAGGTCGTCATGCACGGAGTCCTACTTCTCTTAGACGACATCTTACGGTATTGGCACTTACTGGTCCTTGTCTTCCGACGATTGCTGCACCTGTTCGAGTCGCTGGGCGGAATCTGTCACGCAGATGAGTGACCCGGATGTAGCGGTCTTGAGCCAGGGTTGTAACGCGTTGTGGATCAGGGCGTTGACGGTCACGTGTTGATCCAGTAACTCGAACACGTTCCACCAACCTTACAATAGTGGACTGATGACAATTGGAGTGTCTGGCAATAGCACATGTAGACATTCCCATGGCTTTATTCCGTTGATTTTCAGTAAGTCTCGGCATCTCTAGCTCGATTCCTTCACACGTCCAACAACAAATTACGACAGATTGACGTTTCACAGTTCATGTACTGCACATTAAGTTGAAAACATGCTTTTAAAGGGCTCACACACAATGCTGCTCGTGAATATTGGGTTTTTCATGTGCATCTCGTGCAATTTTTTTTTGTGCACACGGGTCGATATTTTTTGCGTTTGGGAGCATTGTGTGAAACAATAGTTCATAGTATTGCATAATATTATACATACAAAACCACTAAGTAATAAAATATTTGGGAAAAAAAGTGATGCCTTTTCCATGGCGCTCAGTATATAATCGGATTTACTCATTTCTACCAACAGAACATCACTTTAGTGGGGTTGAACATTGGGGCTGAAATTAGTTTCATCATCGGAACCTTAACTTCAAACCTTATCTAAAGCATAGATTTATATATCTCAAGATGAAAGCAGCAAGCCTGTTTATATCCTGTTCTATTCTAATGATCAAGATGTAAGAGTTTTGTTACACAAACATCTGTGTTATTGCCGAATCGTTCAAGTGAGAAGTTAACATTTCTCTGATACTGAAGGGGTAATTTGACTTTTATTGCACTAATTGTATAAAGGGGTAAACACGTTTAGGTGGTAGATTAACATCGCTGAAAGGGCAAACAAGTGTAGGTGACTGGTTAACGTCGCTGGAAGGCTAAACAAGTTTAGTTTGTAGGTTAACATCGCTGAAGGGGTAAACACGTTTTGCTGGTAGGTTAACATCGCTGAAACGGCAAAAAAGCTTAGGTGGTAGGTTAACATTGCTGAAGAAGTAAACACGATTGGGTAGTAGGTTAACATTGCTGAAGAGGCAAACACGTATGGATGGCAGGTTAACATCACTGAAGGAGTATACAAGTTTGGTTTGTAGGTTAACATCATTGAAAGGGTAAACAAGTTTGGGTGGTAAGTTAAGAAGTGGATATATTGGTGAATATAGCTTTTATCGTGTACATCCAAGATTGCCGCCACATTACACTTGGAGGAAGGGTGCGTTTTTGTTTGAAGAGCAAATTATCATAAAATAATATAAATATTTGAACTTACTGACAATGTTTACCGGAAGTAGAGTATACCTTCCTTAATTTACACTCGCAGCTTGAACAGTCTTTATCTTTAACTCTATCTTTAAAAAAAACCCATAAATTTAATCATTTCATATTTTAATAAGGAATCTTTCAATATATATTTCAAACCGAAAATATAAGCATTCATATTTATAAATATTAGGTGTATAACAGCGTAGTTGTTCGGTTGTATGTAACCCCAGCTATTTATTTCAGAATTTAAAGCGTTTTTGTTTATAGTTTTGTTGCCCATATTTCTAAATAGGGTTTGTCAAGGGACAACGTGTAGTCGTTCGGATGGTCCACAAAAAAGAGGACCCGTGTACACATTTGCGTGCACGTAAAGTCTCTATTATAGCACAATTCATTATATGACAGTTGGTGCAGAAAGGTAGGACGGTAAACCCCATTTCATTTAGTGTTGTATATCAAGGTATCTACCTGTTATGTTAAACTTGAGATTAAGACTTTGATTATAAGAATTCCCTAAAATACATCTCAGCTCTGTTACGGTGTCTGTAGTAAGATTTAGAGTTGATCTGGTAGAGTAAGAACAGTTGTTATTGTTGAGTGTTCTCCTACTTTCACTTCTATTATGATAGGCTGACCAATTGGGGTAAGATGGGGGCGATCGCCATTCCCATCGCCACTCCTCACGCATAATTCTAGTAACTCCACTACATACAACTGACGATGGACGGTTATCAATGTCTCTAATCACCTCCATTTTCAGGTTGGTAGGTTCCTCTGTAAAAATAAAATACATATTGTTCTCAAAGATATGTTACTATTACTTTATATATATGTATATTTTGTCTATGGAAACCAAAAGCTTGAACTTAAAAATATAAAAATAACTTAACAATAATAATTTTTCACGGTGAATTTAATGGTGTTATCTATGATGTCCCTAAGTTATATACCTTGTACACCAATGTTGCATTATATATGATGTCATTGTGGTATTTGATCTTTGACTAGTTTGACCCAAGTTAATTGCTGTACCCCTCTAAGGTGAATAAAGGCATGTTCAAGATGGCTAGTAGGTGGGTGTCAGTATGCATTCTGTGTAAATGCACCACATTATATATTTTGTACTTGGTGCAGTATTTAATCATGATGGCTATGACAAAAATGACAATCACTTCATGAATGTTACAACAATTGCGATATTTTACCCGTACAAAGTCAACTAATTAAAACTGATTCAATTTAATAATTCGGTCGCCATCGCTATATATAATGACATTTTGGTTCCCCGAGTTAATTGCGAGCATTGGAATAGGTGGCACTTTGTTAAGTGGTAAATGCTTATATATATATTATAAACTGCCTTATTTTCTGCACGGGCGGTCGTAAACATTTTAAACTGACTTACTTGAAGATACATTATGGGAGATTAGATAATAATAGTTAAAATAATAGTTAAAAACTAGATAATGTAAAGAGAATTTGCTGAAAACTTCAGTCAAATTGATCCACTCTGAACCGAAATTTTAGCGATTGAATTTTCGGCCTAGCCTTAATTATCATTACTAAAGTCGGTACGATAAAAAAAAACGTAGTATCGATTACCCATTTCATGATTAAATCATGAATGAAAGTTGAGCAGCAAATCGGATCCTAATCGACCTAATCCAGTAAATATCGCAGGCTAGCGTTGACACCGAGAGTGGATAAGTCTGGAAAAGTTAATTAATGTCCAATTAATAATTTAGATAACATTTCAGGCCTAAAGAAAGACCTGCAATAGGCAGATTTAGCTCTTGCATAATGTATGTTTAATTACTTCTCATACTGACGGTTGTAGCCATTGTACGCTGACTTGCTTTCTAACGGAAGGTCGATAATAATGTAAACAGATTTACTTTCTGACTGACGGTGGTAACTATTGTTAACTGACTTACTGTTGTTGTTTTGGCTATATATAGCCGCATCATATTTTGTTATATTGTATAAGCTTGATAACGCTGAGAGAACACTCTTCGAAGTGTCGCCTAAATATATCAGTAGTTGTTTTCCACTAGTAGTGTTATAGTTTATCAATGTACCCATTAACTAAATGCCACATAAACAATATATCTAATAGACGGTTGTAATTAGTGTAATTGACTTTATTTATAACGGATGGTCGTAAATATTGCAAACCGAATTACTCATAACGACAACGACTGTTCGTTACTTCCTAACCGAAGTAATTATTGTATACTGACTAATTTTCTATACATAAGGTTGTAACTATTGTAACCTGACCTAAATACTAAGTTACTGACGGAAAACATGCTTACGTTCTATACAGACAGTTGTAAATGGTATTCTTGTAGTGGCTGTGGTACCAGATTCGCTAAACGTGCAGCGAAACTGTACGCCATTTTCTTGCGCCTTGGTCAAATATGTCAAGACTGTTCGTGTTTCACCCTGACAGACTGATGTAGTCCCGTCTCCACGGGGATCTAACAATTTTTCAACCGTAACATTATCAGTAAAAGGAAACGACTGCCATGTTAATCTGTCTCCGGGATGTCGCCATTGCCAAGACCAGTCTGTTACGATACCACTACATTCCAGCCTAATTCTGGTAGGACTTGGATACACAGATTGCTCCGGTTGACGAACAACCATAGATTGTGTACCTTGGAAATATAAATAATAAAATGAAGGAAAATATGATACCTGGTTTGAAATAATTATTATTTACACCGAGAGAAACGTTTGATTTATATCAGCCATATTCACTGATGGAACCAAATGCCGTAAATTTGCGGGAACGGTTTAAATTATGCTAAAACTGGCGTGGGCGGTCCATGGTAGAATAGATAGGCAATATGGATCGGCGTATTATTATCACATTTGTGTGGGGACCAGAAACTCATCTTGTTCTTATTATTCAAGTACGATCGACATCCATGTTCCTTGGACATTTGTACGATGACGTCATGCATAGTTCCTGGTCTATATAGCAAGCTCGAACCTATTTCCCCACAATCGATGACATTTTATGTTATTGTCAGGGTTTGTGGATGAAATTATTTGTTATTTGTATTATCTAGACTAGATTAAACGAAGTTGATATAACACATTGTATGAAATTAAATAAATAATTATTGTTAAGCTCGAACCGTTTTCTCCACAATCGATGACATTTAATGTTATTGCCAGAGATTTGGATGGAATTAGAATTTTAAATTTTGGACTGATATTGGAGATTAAAGTTTCACAAATATTGTAGTTTGCAACGGATTCTTATAGCGCTAAATGACGCATCGAGCTTTTTGTGGAACGGCTTAATTTTCATGCACAATGGAACCGATACAAAACTATTATATCAAATACCGTACTTGATAGATCCTTATAGTAAATACAAGAGGGTCACCTCACCACATCGTCACAAAATACACAAGACTAACCCGAGGACACGATATAAACAGGCATGTAAAATCATAACCAACAAACGTATATGTCAAATCTAGTGAATGGATACAAGGGGGCAGTAGTGTAGGAGGAGGTTCCCAACACGCTTAAACACAAGACAAACCCACGGACACTAAATACACAAACAATGAAAATAATAACCAAGAAACGTATATCAAATCTAGTGTCCACTCTATAATGTTATTATGAATGGTTGCGAGGGGACAGTCGTAAGCTTGATAACCCATTACTTATAATAAAACAAAGTTTGTGGACGATATAAAGGCATAATCAATACCTCAATAGTCAAGTAGCATCATGAATGTGTTCTAGACATGTATGTTCTGTTTCCGTGAACGATACCCGACATACAACTTGAACGAGCGAAATCGTGTTACTGTAATAGCTGGTAGTCGTACATATCTTGTTCACAATTGGATAAAATACAAACGAATTCCTAGTGTAGAATTTTTAACTTAAAAATGCATAAATATCAAGGGAAGTCTTTTAAATGCGGATACAGTTAGCAGAAATATTCCTTTAATAAAACCGCATTCGCCATTCGAAAATCCAGGATGGCGACCAATTTGAAGATGGTTGACTTTCGGGCAACGAAATATCGCCATGTGTGATAAAAGCATGCGTCTGTACCATATATTTTAAGTTTAATTTAAATCAGACAAAAACTTGTTGGCTATGGAGAGAACCCACCAACTTTGTACTATTCACATTTTGAGAGGGGCAAATATCATAATCCAAGATATTGTGGGATGCTGCAGATCGTCAAGATACATGTATTTTGACTCAAAACATTTTCGTAAAGCAGTGGACACATTAGCCGAATCATTCGGCCGAATCAATCGGCGCCGAATTTTATTCGGCCGAATGGGTGGGCACACTAGCCAAATGCTTCGCCCGATTCACCAGTCGATTGCATCACCTTTCATGTCACATGATTAAACATGTCTTCAAACTATCACGTCACTTCTCGATATGAGTGGTGATTGGCTAATGAATTCTACATTCGGCCGAATGCTTCGGCGAAGCGGACACACCAGGCGAATATAATTCGGCCGAATATATCAAACCTGTTTGATTCGGGCGAATCATTCGGCCGAATGACAGTGGACACATTCGGCTAGGGTGTCCACCGCTTTAAGTGTAATCAAATACGGACGGATATAATACGTCAACATTCATCCGTATACAAATTATCTCAATCTGTCCAGTGGGTACAGCTATGTAAAAGAAAAGTGAAACATTTAGGCAATATTGTCAAATCTATCCAGATATGACCCGATGTTACAGTTATCTGTCTCACAATCGCTGATGAGTGTATCGAACCGTAGTGTTTGTTACCTCACTATCGCTGATGAGTGTATCGAACCGTGGTGTTTGTTATCTCACTAACGTTGATAAGTGTATCGAACCGCATGTTCCTGAAGCAACGACCGCGAGTTTTACAACATCTAGCTTGATAAGATGTACGTAGTTAAGGCGAGATCAAGCCTTCTATTGAAGATGATCGAACCGTGGATGTTTGTTACTTGACTACCGCTGATAAGTGGATCGAAACGTGGTGTTTGTTTTCTCACTAAGAATGATATAGTACAATAAAACATAAATTTACCTGTTGCATTTAGGTGAAAATCACCTTGTAAGTTAGTAATTCCCGCATTGTTCGAAACCTTTAGTAGACATCTGTATTGCCCTGTATCTGAACAATCTGGTTGTTTAATTGTCAAGACTGCTTTAGTAAAAACACCCGGTCTTGTGGATATCATCTGAAGGCTATATTTGTTGGGTGATATATCCGGTCCAAGAACAGCAGTACCGTTGCCTACAGACCCTAACAAAATACTAGATTCTGTTGTTTTTAGTGGCTGTTTCTGTATTTCAACTGATTGTATTATGTGGTTAAGATAGGACGTTTTTAGTGAACATTCTATGGTTGATGTACTAGTTTTGTTTAGTTTAAAAACTGGCGGAGAAATATAAATCTGGATAGCATCAACCTCTGTAAATAAAAGGACAGTCTGTTAATGACAAACATTCACATAGGGTTTAGCGAAAACTCTACACAATTTAGGTTTATCTTTATTTGGATATATCGCGTCCGCGTTGGAGTTTTTAGCAGAAGGCGGTGGGTTTGATACCCGGGAACCGATACAAAACACCACGCGGCAACTAACACCCATGGTTCTCCTGAGATAGAAACCACGCATTTTGACAGTCCGTATGATATACAGAGCACACGTTTGACCACTCGGCTACGTGACCCCACAGACCATACGAAGCTATTTACTTCTATCATAGTCGGAGAAAGTCGTATAAAGAAATCGCTGCAAATCTACATATGACGCGTTTGACTATTCGACACCTCAACCCCACAGACCACACACGAGGCTTTTTACACCAGATCTTTAAACATATTAAAATAGTTCAATGAACCTATTCAAAATACGTCCACACAGCATCTATGTCTCAGTAGCAGATCAAAAATGTAATAAGGATTAAGCATCCTGTAGGCGACCCACATAATACATACATTGGCGTGGAAAATAGTATATTAACTGAAATTGATGCAAAACAACTTACTATTTAAATAGATGGTTATGTCCTGGTTATGAGTTTCCAAGCCTGCGGCTGTACATCGGAATTGTTTACCATTATCGTCATCTTTCACAGTATAACTTAAGAAACTTCTTGTCGAATATTGGCATCCTTCTAAATGCGGTCGAACAATAGCAGTGGATATATCCTCGGAATGAATGTAAACCCTCCATGGAGAATTAGAATTAGGTCTCCACAGCCAGGAGAGATTTTGTGGAGGGTTGCCAATATCCCCTTCGCATTTGAATTGGAGAAGGTCGCCGACTGTAGAAAAGGGCGTGTTTGGTTTTTTACTTGTATCAATACGGGTGGGTAGAGCTGTAATAAACATAGTATTAAACTTTTGTCAGGAAAAACTTTAACAAGCAGAGTATTGTCAGGAAAAACTGTAACAAGCAGAGTATTGTCAGGAAAAACTGTAATAGACTTAATATTAGTGGGGAAAACTGTAATAAACAGACTATTAAACTATTGGTAGGAAAACATTAATAACCAAAGTATTGGTAAGAACATCTGTAATAAACAGATTATTGGTAGGAAAACTGTAATAAACAGAGTATTAGTAGAAAAACTTTAATAGAAAGGGTATTAGAATACTTGTAGAAAAATCTGTTGGTGGGGTTCAAGGTCGGGACACGGGGTCGGCTCGGGCTTTTTCAGGTCGATTTTCTCTTGTCAGCAGTACAGGACAAGGGGGCGGCCAAATAAAACCGATACTTACTGTTAACTGTGACATTTCTAATGTCCTCTAAACGCTGTAGCTTATCTTTTGTGATCCCGGTTGTACTACAGCTAAATTGGCGGTGGCCGCCACAGGATGGGATGTATTCAATTGCTAGATACGAATTCAGTGGTGCTGCAGGGTCAAAAGAACTCGTGACAGCAACACCGGGATCATAAAATGATGAATGCCCAGATTTATCAATTTTCCAGGTCTGGTATGTATTACGTTTAATCCATATTGAGTTTAGTCTTACATAACCAGCATCGACTTGCGGTGAACATCTCAATTTCAATTTTCGGGTTTTGGTTCCGGCGTCTGGTAGATTTTGAATTTGTAATTGACCGGACGAGATCACTAAAAAATATATGCAGTAATTTATAGCTAAGGCAACGAAACAATCAGTCTTCAACAGATGAAAGGTATTACAACCTACACACCAAATGGAAACTGAGTCGGGGATAACTTTCAAGATCGATGGGCGAAATTTCAAAGCATGGGAATCTCTTGCATAACGGAGGTAATGACCAATGCCGGGGAATCCCTTGTATGACTATCAAGGTACGAAGGTGATGGACAATGCCGGGGAATCCCTCGTTTGACTCTCAAGATACGAGGTGATAGACAATGACGGGGAATCCCCCGAATGATTCTTAAGATACGGGGGTGATTGATACTGTCAGATGAATCAAAAGTAGGATTTACAAATATTGCTGACACATGATCTCAGACTATAACACATTTATACGTTTAGGTTGCGGTGTCAAATTTCGTGTTTTTCTTACCTTTAGGGTAAAGAGTATTTGTAAAACTGTAGGCCTCGGAACTCCCTAAAATACATTTGAACTCTATTCCTCTATCTGTCATGGTATGTTTCAAAGTTGAAGAGGTGAACGAGTCACAACCAAACTTGTACGAGTTATACATATTGCTAATGTTATCTGGGTATCGATAGGGCTGCCACGTTTTATTCAACGGATCATCTCGCCACTGCCATGTCCAATTCTTTAAGGGAACGCCTACCAGCCCCGTACATTTCATCTCCACTGTAGAATTGATATCATACACCCTTCTTCCGACTGGGGTTGTTAACATCTTTAGTTGTTCGGGTTCAGCTGTAACATACATAGAGTGAACAGCTGTAACATATATTGGGATCAGCTGTAACATATATATAGAGGGATCAGCTATAAAATATATAGATGAATCAGCTGTAACATATCAGCTTGTTCAAAGGAAAAATCTTGAATTGACCTTTACCATTGTACAAGCTCAATATTATTAATAATGATCTCTTGGAAACAAAAGAAAGCAACTTTATCGCTAAATATAACCTAATTTTGAATGCTAAGTGGTGATTATTTTAATCATGTTTGATGTTTAATTAATGTTATTTCGTTTTAGTTTTTATATTTTACATAATATATGTCATTTTCCTCTGTTATTGTAACAGTATAGTAACGCATTAAATTAGCCTGACAATTCGTTTAACAACGATGAATGTACTAGCCAAAAATTTAATTTTTAGTGTTTTTTTTCTAATAATTGAATTTTACTTATATGTTTAACTGAGAGTTAGATCGTTTTATATATTATTTTTGACAGTTTAATAACAGCCAATGCCCACCTGGTTAAAATCTATCTTTCCATATTTGATTGGGGATTTTTGTCATAATGAATAACGCGTCGACGTAATGTACAATTATATCTGTGGCAATTTAATATGTTTCATTATATAACCATTGCACCAAATTTAACTATTTCAAAATTGTTATTTACTGATGACAATAATATAGGAGTATTACACCAGTTGGAATTTCCTTTCCAATTTTAATTAGAATTCAATATTTATATCAAATGAATATTTATATCAAATGAATATTTATATCAAATGAATATTTATATCAAGTCAAGTGAATATTTATAGCAAATGAATATTTATGTCAAGGGAATATTGATATCAAGTGAATATTAATATGAAATGAATATTATATCAAATGAATATTATATCAAGGGAATATCTATAATATAATCAATATTAATATGAATATTTATATCAGGTGAATATTAATATTTTGTGAATATTCATCTCGAATGAATATTGATATCGAGTTGGTATTTATTTCAAATTGAATATTAATATCAAGTAAATATTAATATCAAGTAAATATCAAGTAAATATTAATATCAAGTAAATATTAATATCAAGTAAATATTAATATCAAGTAAATATTAATATCGTGTAAGTATTTATATCAAGTTAATATTAATACCAAGTGAATATTTATATTAAGTGAATATTAATATCAAGTAAATATTTATATCAAGGGAATATCTATAATATAATCAAAATTATAATATAATCAATATTTATATATTTAAGTGAATATTAATATCAAGTAAATATTTATATGAAGGGAATATCTATAATATAATTAAAATTAATATCAAATGAATATTTATATGAAGGGAATATCTATAATATAATCAAAATTAATATCAAATGAATACTTATATCATGCGAATATCTATGTTTTTTATTAAGTCAATATTTTCACGAAGTGAATATTCTTGTCAAGTGAATATTTTTATCAAGTGAATAGATTTGGTTTATCCTACACTAGTTAAGGTAAGCATTCCCTGTGTATCCGCACTGAAATTTTTGTTGGGCGCTTTTACTGGAGATATACTGCTGAATATGATGCACATCCTGAATTATATTATCAATATATAAAGATTGTGCTTTATTACGCCACCACCACCAACAAAACAACTGGATGATATTAAATACGAGAAGAGTTTCTCACCTCCAATGCAGATGCTTATACTCTTTGAATAGGAAGTCGACTGTCCAAGTTTACATGTAAATCGCAGTGCATTGTCATCGTCCCTTATCACATAAGTCAACGATGTGCGTGAAAAGTTACCGCATTCTGGATTATATGATGTCTGGTTCACTACGTCATGTTGATCAGAGAGTGGTGGAATGTTAGAGTTGGATACATAATTGACGAGTGTATAATACTTTGAATACACCCACGACCACTGATGTTGATGTGTTCCTGTATATCCACTGCATTCTAGGGTTATCGTAGTGCCACGTGAGTAGATCGGTATTTCTGGTTCGCTCTTTATTTCAAGATGACTGACTTCACCTTTAATAAATGAAAACATCAACCAAAATATGCGAGGGTCGCATGATGATGAACTGGAAAAGGAGTTTCCATCAGAATAATTGTTCGTTGCATTTATTTTCTAAATAAATAAAATCAAATTAATTTAGATAATTATGAACATAAAAACCGTGTTCGTAATATGTATTTGTGTAATAAACGGCGCCATCCAATTAATTTAGGTAATTTATAACTTACTCTCCACATTAACAACCGTATTGGCTTGTAGAGTTTGATTACCATCATCGGTAACACCATTAGTAGAACAGATATACCGAGCAGCATCTGTACAATCAGGATTGGTTATAACCAATTGAACATATGATTCCCCGATTCCTTTAAATTCTCCAATAATATTATATTTGGATTGAATAATTCCAGATCCAAGAGTAGCTCCAGCTGCAGATATTGATGCTAAGATTGTTGAAAATTCTGGAGTCTGTGGATTGTGTTTTAGTATCTGGATGTAGTTCAGGGATGTAAAGTTTGATGTTTCAATAACAGAACATTGTATCGTTAGATTCGCTGCTCCGACCGGTAAACTATCTCCTGGTGTTACCTGAACACGTGCGGCATCCATATCTGTTGGACAAAAGATACATAATATAAATTGGTACTGTAATTACCAGTCAGCCAGTAATCTTTTTAACTATTTATTGATGCCAATTGTCCTGTTTAAAAACAATTGTATGATTCGTCATATTTTGTCGGCGATATAAAGCTAGTATACAACATACACACATGGTTATAACTGAACAAATACGAACCATATAAATATATATGTCATCGCGATTGTGACAAACAGTATAGTAAAGTTGCAGTGCACAGCAATAATGTAGTCATACGCTAACTAAACACATTCTCTTACCAGTATTCTACTCCTCACCTGCTCGATTTTATAATAGCAAGCATGCCATAAAAGAAGATTAGAATGCTCTCCACCGTAGTTAAGGATGGGCGTTGCCTATATGAACTTAAGATCCATTTAAACGAGAATAAACTGACCTACTGGCTAAATATATTGCTGTCGTCCTATAAGCTGGTTCTGGACCACCAACTGTACATCTGAATTGTCTTCCATTGTCATCAGATACTACTTTATACTTCAAGATACTTCTTGTAAAATAATAACAACTGGTAGATGGTAGTGCTTCAATGATGCTATTGTTTACGCTTTCCATATTAGGATAAACAACCCAGTCACCATCAGGGGATTTCCATTCCCAGGTAATGTTTTGTGGGGGATTTCCCACTTCACCGTTACATTCTATATCTCGAGTCTCGTTGATGTTAGAGAACCTTCTGTTAGGGTTGGTTGACATTGTTAAAGTACCTTAGAGTTAGACAAAGTTGTATGAATTATAGATTTTAACAAAACAAGTGGAGATTAAATTTAAGAAAAATACACAGCGACGCTTAATATGTCAAGTTCAATCTACTTATATTTAGATTACATTAGCATTGTCTGAATTTGTGTCTGATTTTTACACTACATTTTACTATAAACGGAATTAACATGTAACTGAGTATTCTTCATTGCACGTGTGAACCACTATTATGTAATTATAATTATCCAACTGTGACGTATATATATATTTATTGACCTTGGCATTTCCTCGTGGTTGCTCTTATACTGTTTATTTTGACTTCTCATGCGTCACGTTAACATATTATCACATAATGTGTGTTTTAAACATGACTCTGAAGTTGATCGTCATTTCTACCACACTCCCATTACTTACATGACAGTGACAGTGCATTGTTACTTGTGAAGTTAAACAGCTTGTGGTCACTGACCCTGCATACTCTATATATATAGTGATGAATGTTGCCAAGGAAACGGGGAAACCGCGATGCCACTCCGCGAATATTTGTAAAGATTCTAATTAATAACCATGTTGCGTTGCGGTGTATTTCCTGCATTTATCAACAGGCAACAACTAAATTTAGCATAATTGTTATCAAATCGATACAATAGATGCTTACGTTCAAAGGCAACAGTGGCTGTAGCTTGTAGACGTTGAGTCTCCGAATCAGAACTTCCCACTGTAACACACTGGTACTCAGCTTCTTCCGTACAATCGGGGTTCAATACATCGATCTGCAGATACGATTCTGCTATTCCAGTAAACTCCCCACTGATGTTGTACTTGGGTTGTGTCAAACCAGGACCATGAGTTATTCCAGAGGATGTAATAAAAGCTATACGTTTAGGCGAACCTACAGAACGTCTTGTAATCTCTATATATTCCAGTGAAGTATAACCGCTTGTTTCTATTGGTGAACAGTTTATGGTTAAATATGAAGCCCCAACTAGAAGTTTCGTTGATGGTGAAATATGTATTCGTGTCGCGTCAAAAACTGTAATAGAGCAATCAATACAAACAACTTCAGAAAACCCAGACCGACATATTTGAAATTTTAATTAGCTTCATTCCTATCACTGACCAATGCCGTCACTGATACACTATATTACCAGGAATACAATTAAGCAATAAGTCAACAAAGTACATTTTACAAATTATATGTGCTTTCTTTAGACTTGTTATACGACGAAAAAAATCTAGACAACCACAGATCTGAAGCCAACATCACATACATAAACAATTGCTTCCTATATTATGACGAAAACAAATTTAAGACAGAAATAAAAAAAACCCACTTACTGGCTAGATAAATAGCTGTCGTTGCACTCAGTGCGTCCAAGTTTCCAACAACACCTTTAATGTCATGACGAAAACAAAGAACTGAAATGAAACAACTTACTGGCTAATTTAATAGTGGTCTTTACACTCAGTGCGTCTACGTCTTCTACAATACACCTGACCTCTTTGCCATTATCACCTTCATCAACCTTGTATCTTAAAGAACTTCTAGTAAAATAATTACATCTTGTAGAATTAGGGGGGATGACATCGCCATCTCTTATATCAGAAGGAATAGGATACGGTACCCAGTTATTACTACCGGGTAGTTTCCATTCCCAAGATATATTTTGTGGAGGATTTCCCACTTCACCACTGCATTCTATTTCTAGAGTTTCGTTGATGTTGAGGAATCTTCTGTTAGGGCTGATTGCCATTGACATATTACCTGGTTAAAGCAATTGCAATAGATAGGTATTTAACAAATTGATTGATAATTATCGATACATTCTGATATAATAAATGCAATGAAATGAAATGGGGTTTAACGTCCAACTGTTCTGCTCCTAAACTGGGCTAATGAAGACGGGAATACGCCATACAGTGTGCTATGGGGGAAATTTTGCCCTGGCAGCGGCGCTACGGTCTACTCTTATATCGAATCCCAACTGCCAAGGGATCTTTTATGTGCACGCCAATATGTACACGGAATTTGGATGAACTTTCTCGGCCAATGCGGGGATCGAACACCCGACCTCCAGGCTAGCGAGCCAGCGTCTTACCCACTTAGCCACGTGATCCCCCTGATATAATAACGGGGTGTTCAGCATATATAATTATATCGACCACACCCATTCCCGACACCTGTGATATTTATAAATTTTATAATATAAACATTTTCCTTCAACCACTGAGTTGACAAAAGAGAGGTCAAATATTGGGAATAGAAATATTAATCGAAACTAGACACGGCTTTATGGATACACAAATACTATATTTATTAATATGTATCGTTTCCATGAGGATACTAACGTCTTAATCAAGCAAAAGATTTTATCCTCGCCGACACGTTGCATATTAATAAATTCAGTATTGTGTACACATAAAATTGTACATTGTGGTAATATACTGAATAACTAAATGTCTATTAATTGCAATCCAGTGGAAATCATCTATATTAGATATCCGATATATTCGGAAGGAACGACCCTACATCCGTTACAATTAGTAATCGTATTCCAAATTGTAACTGTCACCCTTACCTCGAATTGTAATTGTTTGATTATATCGATAACTATCAGGTCCAACACGTGCATCACCAGATGTAGCACATTCATACATAGCAGCATCAGTGCAATTCGGATTATTGATAATGACTTGTATGTAAGAATTCCAAGGGGCATCCTCATCAAACTGACTAGTTACTGTATATTTAGGGCTGTCAAATCCTGGTCCAGAACCATACACAATCCTATATTAACACATACAACGACACGTAGATAATTTTCATTTTGGGGTGATAAAACAAAAAGACTGTTGACCATAGATAAAATGTGGAGAAAGGTTTCAAGTTAAAATAAATTATGAATGTCCTAGTTCACTCAAGCATTCTGTACCATATAACGTCCACTCGACTATAACCATTTTTTGGGGAGACTATTTTAGAGTACCCGGAAAAAAACCTGCACGTACAAACCAAGTACCGAACCCCGGACTAGATAATGCCCGCCACCCTTTAAAATAAGAACTGTCATACCTGTTTGTAAATGCAACCTCAGTTGTTTTGTTCTTCAGTATATAAAGACTGTATATTTTCGTGTACTGGGATTCATAAGTGGACGAACATCTAATGGTTATAGATGAATCACCTTCTTGTAAATGTGGCGACGGTGTTATATACAAACCAGTGGTTACAACACCTTTTAAAATAGAAGAATAGGACTACACAGTATGATCTGGACAAACAGATGTTGGGTGAATAACGTCGTTAACTAAATTTAATCCTATTAACGAATCGGACAGTTATATTTCACTGCGGCTACGGGTGTGATTTAACTTTTGTACATGCAGTCTTGTGTATACCCCGTGTAGCTACGGAGTGTGAATTTAACTTACAGTCTCGTG